GGGGCGGGAGTTTGGAGGAGAGGGATTGTGGCTCAGAAGGTGGCTGGGGGGGGGGGGGGGTTCTGGGTCAGGTGGGGGCGGGAGTTTGGGGGAGAGGGATTGTGGCTCAGAAGGTGGCTGGGGGGAGGGGCCGTTCTGGGTCAGGTGGGGGGGGGAGTTTGGGGGAGAGGGATTGCGGCTCAGGAGGTGGCCGGGGGGAGGGGGCGTTCTGGGTCAGGTGGGGGCGGGAGTTTGGGGGAGAGGGATTGTGGCTCAGAAGGTGGCCGGGGGGAGGGGCCGTTCTGGGTCAGGTGGGGGCGGGAGTTTGGGGCAGAGGGATTGCGGCTCAGGAGGTGGCCGGGGGGAGGGGGGGGTTCTGGGTCAGGTGGGGGGAGTTTGGGGGAGAGGGATTGCGGCTCAGGAGGTGGCCGGGGGGGGGGGGGGGGAGGGGGGCGTTCTGGGTCAGGTGGGGGCGGGAGTTTGGGGGAGAGGGATTGTGGCTCAGAAGGTGGCCGGGGGGGGGGGGGGGGGGGGGGTGGTGGGGGGGGGGGGGGGAGAGGGAGGGCCGGAGGGGGGGGGGGGGTTCTGGGTCAGGTGGGGGCGGGAGTTTGGGGCAGAGGGATTGCGGCTCAGGAGGTGGCCGGGGGGAGGGGGGGTTCTGGGTCAGGTGGGGGCGGGAGTTTGGAGGAGAGGGATTGCGGCTCAGGAGGTGGCCGGGGGGAGGGGGGGTTCTGGGTCAGGTGGGGGCGGGAGTTTGGGGGAGAGGGATTGCGGCTCAGGAGGTGGCCGGGGGGAGGGGGGGGTTCTGGGTCAGGTGGGGGCGGGAGTTTGGGGGAGAGGGATTGCTGCTCAGGAGGTGGCCGGGGGGGAGGGGGGGTTCTGGGTCAGGTGGGGGCGGGAGTTTGGGGGGAGAGGGATTGTGGCTCAGAAGGTGGCCGGGGGGAGGGGCCGTTCTGGGTCAGGTGGGGGCGGGAGTTTGGGGGAGAGGGATTGCGGCTCAGGAGGTGGCCGGGGGGGGGGGGGGTTCTGGGTCAGGTGGGGGCGGGAGTTTGGGGGAGAGGGATTGCGGCTCAGGAGGTGGCGGGGGGGGGGGGGGGGGGGGGGGGGGGGGGGGGGGGGGGGGGGGGGCGGGGGGGGGGGAGGGGACGTTCTGGGTCAGGTGGGGGGCGGGAGTTTGGGGGAGAGGGATTGCGGCTCAGGAGGTGGCCGGGGGAGGGGGGGTTCTGGGTCAGGTGGGGGCGGGAGTTTGGAGGAGAGGGATTGTGGCTCAGAAGGTGGCTGGGGGGAGGGGGGGTTCTGGGTCAGGTGGGGGCGGGAGTTTGGAGGAGAGGGATTGCTGCTCAGGAGGTGGCCGGGGGGAGGGGGGGTTCTGGGTCAGGTGGGGGCAGGAGTTTGGGGGAAGAGGGATTGCTGCTCAGGAGGTGGCCGGGGGGAGGGGGGGTTCTGGGTCAGGTGGGGATAAGTTAAGATGAGTTGGGGTTGGCCACCTGCTGCATGGTTCCAGGTCTGTCACTGGAGTTGGATGTTGTTCTTAGTTTCTGAATAGAGAAGTGGCAGGTTTTAAACGTTAGTCCAATGGGGAGCAGATAAGCAAGGCTAAATGTTGATATTTTGCCCATAATCACAGTTTACCATTATTTCTTAGGTTTGATGTTCTGAGGTATCTACAGGGCTTCAGATATTTACCAGAACATCTACTGTTTGGACAACTAAACCTACTAGTCAGAGGTAAATATAAAAGCTATAGGTGATACGTGAGGGTCTCCACCAGATTAGTCCAGGGATATAATCCTAGTCTGTTACTCCTGGTGATTACCACTATATTCCTCCTTTAGCTATGGTAGTCATCCTATCTTCCTTTTTTTGATCACCTTATCCAGTGAATAATTTCAGTGCCTGCCTCTTCTGCTCAGATCTTTCCAGGGCAGCAAACATGAAAATGCATCATTACTCACAGCATCACTGTTGTCAACAAGTTTCTTAGAAAGATCTTGCAAAACTAACTAGATACTTGCTAATTTCACTCTACTGCTGTTGCTTATAGCTTTACCTAACAGCAGTAGTGTTGAAGGTGTCTTTCAGCACATGTTATACGTGGTTCATGTTTGTGATATTACATTTGCATGCATAAGGGCTGAAAACTTATTTTAAACAATTCTACAAAAATTGAAGCCATAACCCGCACATTCCCCAGGAAAGGCTTCCCGCTCACAAGTGTATTTTTAAGCCCCATTTATGTACTCGCTTTTAAAATATTCATCTTTATAACATCTAGGATGATCTTAGGACCATGGGCCCAATATTAAATGAGACCTGAACAAAAACAATACGCCTGTATTACATAAAATTGTGGTACAAAGTACACACAATGTAGAGAACCCATAGGAAATTTACTTTTACTATCCCTCTCCCTTAATCTGATTATTTGGGAAGGAGAGAAGAGAAATCAAATCTCATGGAGCAAAACCCCTTCCACACAATGAGATCTGAGCCTGGCTAATCTCTCTTTTCTGTCCTACTAGTTTTTGTGTACTACACTACTGCTGTCTTCTTTCTTGGTCTCTGTCCAGTATGAAGGGTATGCATATGCCATAAGGTCCCTCATTCAAAGTCTTCAGATGAAGAAAATCCAAAAGGTAATTCTCATTTTGCCCCACTCCATCATAGGCTGTCATTTCTCGTCTTAGGCTGTGCCCTTGGGAAACACATTCAGCCTCTCCAGCAGTAGCATATACTTACCTTTCTGTTTTGTAGTTGCTTCAGCCTTTAGGTTGCTCCTTTTATGAGACATCTTACAAATTAATTAGTTTTAAAAAATTATATCTTCTAAACGCCAATAAACAAGAACACCTGCTAATGTGAATTACATCACAAAAGGGGAAAGATTGAGGACTGCTAATCAAAGTAAAGATACTTCATGAATTCAAGAATATAAAATAGTTTGCTACAGTTGAGATACTATAGGTTCAGAGCATTGTTCTCTTGATAGTGTTTCCAAAATAGAGATGCGCAGCAGTAAAAATTAAATGTATTTGTTTCTTACAACTTCAGCAGTTTGCTTTGACTTAGTTTTTCAATCTGTAGAGCCTCTAGCAGCCTCTGTGCAGTTTCAGATGCATCACTTTTGGCACAAGTCTTGACTTGTTGCTTTTTCATTAATGAATGGAGCAGGTGCTACGGTGCTAAGTAATTACTGAAGTCTGATACTACATAAGAACAGCCACACTGGGTCAGACTAATCCATCTAGTCCAGTATCCTGTCTTCCGACAGCAGCCAATGCCAGGTGCTTCAGAGGCAATGAATAGAACAGCTTCTGGCAATCAGAGACTAGGAACACTTAAAGCATGGAGTTGCATCCCTGACGATCTTGTTCTTTTTTTGAACCCAGTTATGATTTTGATCTTCACAGCATCCCCTGGCAATGAGTTCACAGGTTGACTCTGTGTTGTGGAAGAAGTACTTCCTTTTGTTTTAAAGCTGCTGCCTATTAATTTCATTGTGATTCCTGAATGTACTTTTTGTAAAGATTTTTTTAAAAGTGGTACTGCGCTGGTGTGAAACAGGCTCTAAATCTCTTAAAACATTAGGAAAAGTACTGAGAAACAGAGATCTGTTGCAATAGAAAGAGTTTGGCTTGCACGCCCAAGAGAGGCACTTTTTAAAGACTGTTCACTTTGGGTATCTTTAAAATATTAACTAGTAGTTTCCTCTTTTCTCTTATTCATAGCTGAAGTGTCAAAACACAGAGAAAAGCATCAAGATGTCAGTTACTCAGGCCAGAGGTGGATCAGTCCGTAAAGCAAGGAAAATTACTGTAAAAACATCTTTAAATAACCCATATGATATCAAGTGGAATACCCTAGAAGGAGATGATATGCACTTTATACTCCAGACCTTGGAAGAAAGGATTAAACATATTGGACTTAAAAAGATTGAGACTCGAAGGAGGAAAAAGCGTTCTATTGCAAAAAGGCAAATTAAAGAAAAATGTGATGCTAGTGATTGTAGTGTACTTCCACAGGAGAAGGAAACAGACCATATTCAACAAGAACAAGGATGGACTGACTTAAACATCAGGAATCAGCTTGCTATTGGAATTAATGAGGTTACTAGATCTTTGGAAAAAAATGAACTACTTCTTGTGCTGGTGTGTAAATCTGCAAAACCTACTATGATCACCATGCACCTTATTCAGCTCAGTGCCAGTCGAGCAGTCCCAGCTGGCCAGGTTCCACGTCTTAGTGAAAGCATAGCACCTATGCTTGGCTTAACATCTGTTCTAGCACTGGGTTTTAAAAAGAATTCTGATACTTTTACTGAAGTAGTAGAAGCTATAATTCCACGGATACCTAGCTTGGATGTGCCCTGGATTCGCCAGAGAAGTGAGCAACCTATGGCAGAGGCATATACTGATCCTTTGGAAATTCAAGATACTGAGCTTATGGAGACCTCAGTGGAGGAGTTCTCCCAAAGCCGTAAGTGGAAATGTACTGAAAGCAATAAGTCGGATTCTTCAAATGTAACTTTACAAGCTCTCAGAATTAAAAAGCTTGTTCCAAATCCAAATAAGATACGGAAACCCCCCAAAAAGAAAAAAGCTGCTTCAAAATAACTTAGTTTAGTACAGGTCTTTACAGTGGAGTAAAGTGATTATTATGCAGTATTGGAAACTGCCTGATGTAACTAAGTTAGATGCTTTTAAATGTCATGGCTTCACATGTAAAGTCAATTGACCAACAGAAGATGAACTCAGATTTGTTTTATTCTGACATTAAAGCATGCAATCTATAAAAGTGTGCATAAGTGTAACCACAGACTAACACAGCTGTTACTCTGAAACCTGTCACTTTCCTAAGATGTGCTTAATTAGTGTTTAGAGAGCCTGGGCTTAAAAGTATGTGGTATAGTTCTAGAATGTGCACCTGCTATTAATGAAAAGCATCAAGCAAATTCTTTTGTTTTTAGGGAATGAATATACTTAGAACAAAACTCTAAAATTAAATGTAACTATTCAAACAAATGAATATCAAAATTGAAAGTTTATTCAAACAAGTGTCCATGCTGGTATAAACTTTGTTTTTTAAAAGCTGGTCGTCTACAAGATGTTTCAAGCAAACATCTGTAACTGGTAGGCACACACACAGGCTCTGTTTTTGAATGTCAATACTCTGCTCTACAAGGTTGGTTTTGGTCAAGAGATGCAAGCTAAACTGGTTTCCAGATATATTTGGTCTCTGATATGCTAAAGGAAAACATTAGTCTTGATCATCATCATGAATAATTAAATACTTCTGTTGCAGGAAAAATGCATTTTAAAAAAAGACTGCTGTATGCAAACCGTGACATTCTCTCACACAATCCACATAATACAAAGTCGAAGTTAAGTGTCAAAACTATTTCCAATAACTTCAGATATATTCTATGTACTGTTGTATGTAAAATGGCAGGTAAGAATTGTAATCGTACAATCATAGAATATCAGGTTTGGAAGGGACTTCAGGAGGTCATCTAGTCCAACCCCCTGCTCAAAGCAGGACCAATCCCCAACTAAATCATCCCAGCCAGGGCTTTGTCAAGCCTGACCTTAAAGTAATAATTCCAAGTAGCTGAAAATGGTATGATACTTAACTCTTGAAGGGAAATGCACTTTAAGAAACTGCCACAGTAAACAGTAAAATTAGTAAGTGCCACACCAGATATTTTGCAGGAAATTGTGTAAGGATGTTTAGAAGCAGGGAACAGTGAAGCAGCTCAGACTCCAATAAAAAAAAGTGTATAACTAATCTCAACAAAATAAAGTAGTTTACTTAGAGCTCACATTTTACTCAAAAGTTACTCCTCTCCTTCAGGAAGAAAGCTAGCAAAAACCTCTTTCTTTAAGTGAGCCTGTGTTTATTTTTTTTTAAATAGGGGAGAAACTTCCATGTTCCAGGTCAAAGATTATCTAGGCTACCTGTATTCTGGATTCCGCTTCACCCTGCACTCATGTACAAGTTAAGGGAACAAATTAAAAAGGTCAAAAGCAGTGATTCCATTGTAATGAGGCTATCGGAAGCTTAAATGTAGCAGAGGCTTCTAATAGCAAAATGCCCACAGGCCCCTGCCTGGGGAAAAAAAAAAAAGAGGCAGATACTAATTTTTAGCCTTGCTATGTGTGTTCTTGGGGCTTGTCACTCAGGAAAGTTAAGGTGAATCAACTATATTAAAGCACATTACCACCCTTCCCCCAATAGCTGTTCTCATTCAGGAATAAAATGGCCTTGTAGTTTAAGACCGTGTTTCCCAAGCAGTGGGTTGCCGTGTCCAGGATCAGAATAACCCATTGCTGAGCCCAGATTTAGGCTAATATACACTTTTCCCAGTTTGGTGCAGATGGGAGGCCCCAATATGGTAGGGGTGTTGGAGGGAAAACCTGCCCAGCTCTTGTCCTGTGGGACTTGGTCCAGTTCCCCATGCTGGGTGTTGCAACTTGATCCTTGTGGTTACAGTGGCACTCAAGTTTGGTGCAGCTACTCTATTATGATAGAGGAGTAGAAGGGCCAAACATGAGTGGCATTGCAACCCTGTGTGCCACGATGCAGTGCCACTCAAATTTGCTTGCCTACCAAAGTGGTACTGCAACCCCATTCACTCAAATTTAGCCTGGCCATCCCTCTGTCAAACTTGGGGGGCATGCAAACCTGATTGGTGCTGCATCCTCATGCACCACATTGCAATGCTCAGAGCTGGGGCCAACCCTCCTCCTCCCCATCCCCCCAGGACAGGAACTGCCACTGTGGGGTGAGTCCAGGGTGAGCTCAACTCTCCAAACCCTCCCCCCACCTCCTCTGGACCTAGATGGGATATAGGGTTGCAGTGCTGGGGCTGAGGGTAATGGTAGGTCCAAAAAAGATAAAATGCAGTTTGTGGCTCACATTAATAAGTTCAGGAACCACTGGTTTAATCCTCAATCTTTAGCAGAGAATTAAACTAGCGGATTAAGGCTGCTTTATTCTTGCATGAGAGCATCTATGTGAGTGGTTAATAGGCTTTAACTTATGCACATCAATGCAAGGTTAAGTTGATCTGTCAACTTTCCGGGATGTGCCTGTGTAGACAGCCTTGTGTTCTTCAGGCCAGCAATAGGCCCTCACTGACTCTAAGGTACAAACTATTTTAGCTTTAACAACATAAGTGGCCAATAAAATCCTACTGTAGATAATTGGAAGCTAACTATGGGGTGTTGGAATGTACTACCTTTCAAAGTCTAATGTAGACAAGGGCAGTGTGCTTTAACTTGAGCACATATTGAAGCAGACTGCACTGTGCACACTAGAGTAACTGTGTATTAGTATGGGTTAGAACACATTTAGCTAGCAATATACCTTTAAATCACAGTTTAGACAAAGCCTGAGAGCCTGTTAGCCCTGTACATATGGGGTAGAGTCCCCTTCCATTATAACAGAATGACTTTTGTGAAATAAGCTGCCTTACAAGACATGTTAAGTCCAGTGATAAAGAGGTACAACTAAATATCTCTATCTACATGGCTAATTTCAGACAGCTCCTAATGTTGAGCAAAATTTGATCTCACATTTAGAATTATGGGGGTGTTAAAGCCAAGTTTATCCATAAATATTTCACCAAATATTCAAGTAATGTCCAAAATACCTGCACAGCATGTAACCTTCACCGGTATTTGGCACTTCCAGCTAGAACTGTAGATTTTGCTGCTCATGTGACTGTAGCATACCTAAACTCTTAAGAACTGCCATCACAGTTTAAGCTGTGAGTATGGCATTATGGAGTGTATACCAAATGCTTCTGGTTGCAGAGCATTCATGAGGAAATAAAAATCAGGTTGTTGCATTTAAGTTAAGGCCAGTACATAGTCTTTCCAGGGGAGAAGGAGAAGCATGTATCTCTCTCGATTACTGGCACTATGTACAGTGAAACCTATTGTTCAAAATTCAGGATAAAAACACTACCAGTAACAATTTATGAATACTTATTTACACAAGATACTTTTCGTTAGAATTACAGACTTCAAAGTAAACAAAGGAATATGTGCAATTTTGCAGAAGCATTGAAAACATTCAAAATTATAAATATTTTGATAGCATTACCAAAATTCTTAGTTTTACACACAGGCTGATGTTGATCTACTGAGGAAAAACTAAGGTTTTGTGCCACAACTGTAAATTAAGTACAGTAATTTATAATCATTCTGGCAACATAGGTATCTGCACTGAACAGTGCAATACTACTGAATCAATCCACTGATCTATTGAAGATCAAAGTACAAATCTGTATTTTTATTGATTTGGCAGCGTTGCTTATGGAGAAACAAATGCACTAGTCAAACCAGCACATTTTCATACTGCGCCAGTTACAAAAACATCAAAGACTTTCATATTAGCTACAAATGTATCATAACTCCATTATTTTACCCCAAATGATGACATCCATGTGAATTTTATAAGCAAAGATACTCCGTTTGGATCCTTCATTCTGTTACACTGACAAACATACACCACCACTTAATAAATAGAAATGCAGCAGTTCATTCACATAATAGCAAGATTTTCGTACCCTAATCCACCACTGCAGTTCAGTTTGTACAAAACAGTCTTTTCTACAGAGTGGAAAAAATACCTTCTTTTTATCAAGGTGCGAGCTAAGCTTTGAAAATTAAATGAATGTGCTTTTATTCTTTTTATGGACAATAAAAGTTTCATGAACTTTTTCCATTCCATCTGAAAATGTGTAAAAGGTCAGATATGGATTTCTTCATTATTTTAGGTTTGATGGATTATTTCAATTTCACCGACGTTGTGCTTGTACTCCTCTTGAACAATACTGTTCCAAGAACGGTTATGTAGATTAAATCAATCCACATGACAACTTCAGAGTTCTAGAAACACAAGGGTACTCCTTATTGTAATACAAGACCAACCTAAAGGAAGGGGCAAAATGCACTAGTTAATGCAACTATAGCAACAAATACTGGCTTTTTGAACTTAATTATGAATCTTAGATGTTCAATTTAAAACAAATATTTAAAAGTTTTGTCTGTTTTGACATTCTTAAGTTAATTTATTTTTATTGTTAAGTGTGCACAGAAGCTCTTTTTTCGCTTACCTTTTCGGATTCCATACCAGGACACCGCCAGTTGTACAAATAATACTGCAAGTTCCCATCTCCTATCCCAAACTTGAGTTTTTCCAGGAATGTTTTGTTTTCCATCAAGTCTAGTGCATTGAACACATCAAATCCTTTCTGGAAATATCAAAATGTTTTTGAAATTTTATTTTGATTTTCAAATGATACTTTATATATACACATAATGGGTATAAATGTGTCCAAGAGTCTAACAATTTTCACTAAATAGACATTAGATCTGATCCTGCATTCTGATATGCATGCAGAATAGAAGATTTTTCCAATAGGATGTAATTCTGTCTGCATATCACACAGAGGAATTTAGACTGAAGGTTATATCTCTAGAACAGTGGTTCTCAACCTATTTACCACTGTGGGCCGCATATAGCTCTCTCTGTGTTACGTGGGCCCCATCCACAACAGGGATTCTCAAACTTCTTTGCATCGAGACCCCCTTCTGACAACAAAAATTACTACACGACCCCAGCTGGGGGACAGACGCCTGAGCCCCCCTCAAGCCCTGCTGCCCTGGGCAGGGGGGGCCACAGCATAAACCCTGCTGCCCTGTGTGGGTGTGAAGCTAAATGGAAGCTGAAGCTTAATGGAAGCCAAAGCTCAGGCTTTGGCTTCAGCCCCAGGACCCAGCAAGTTTAACACCAGCCCTGGTGACCCCATTAAAACAGGGTCGTGACCCACTTTGGGGTCCCGACCCAGAGTTTGAGAACTGCTGCAATACAGCTACCAAAAAAAAAAAAAGATTTAGTATTTGTTATATGACAGCAATACAATTCAAATCAATTTAGCACCTTTCATTTCAATACTGGCAAATGTCTACCAAGAGCATTTTAAATTAGCAAAATAAGTCAAAACATTAACTTACCATTAATTTATTGGAGGGGTGGCATGACATGACACGCTGCTGCTGGCGGTGTGGCTGGGCTTGGTGCCTGGAGAGCATGGCTGTGGAGCCCTGCCCGGTGTGGGGTGCTCACCCCAGCCAGGGACTGTCCTCCAGGCACCCAGCCCCACCACCCAGGGAATACCCCCATCACTCAACCCTCCTGGAACTGTCCCCCCAGCATCCAGCACCCCCCCCCCCCCAACACTGGTCTGGCACACGTGCCTGCCCTGCAGAGACAGGGTGCCTGGTCCAGGGCAGAACAGCACCGCAGGGATTGCCCCCTCCAGCATTCAGTCCTCCACCCAGAGACTCCCCCACCAGTATCTTCTCCCAGCCCTCAACCCCTCCATCCAGGGACTGCCACCAGTCCACACACCTACAGTCTGTCCCCCATACACTGGCTGCACCCGCCTTCCCACGCCCCAGCCCCCTGCACCCCCTCCCTAGGGCCCTAGCCCCCAGAACCTCACTTCCCTTGCCCACTGGTCTCCTACCTTGGTTACACATAGCTTAGCCATGCAGCTTGCCCTGCCTGCCTGCAGTCCTAGTGCCAGGGAGCAGGCTCCAGCCAGGGTCACTGGACGCATGGGGTCAGGGTGGGGTGGAGGGAGGGGCACTCAGCACCCTAGTTTCCTGCTGATGCTGCTAGGCCTGATCCTGTGCTGCCCCATTTTTGCACCCCCCTGCTGGCCTGTGCCTGGGGCATATGCTCCTGCCATAGTTAGAGCCCTGAGAATGTCACAACATGGGCCGCAGCTGTGTGCTGATTGGTCTTCAAGTGGCCCACGGGGTGAGAACCACTGCTCTAGGAGGTAGGACACTGTCAGGTGACATTCCGGGGTAAAACATCAAAATAATCCTAATGCAGTTTCAATGTTATAGGTTTGTTTCTTTGCACAATAGTCAAGATTGATCTTAGTTTTTAGTCTACATTAAACTGCATTTGAGCACGCACAGTACTAGCTGCTATAATTGAGGCTGCATAAACACATCAATCCTAACCTGTTTTCAGTCATTTATATTTTTTATATTTTCAGGATTTAATTTGTTCAAGTTTGGTCCCTTCCTAAAAGTGATGCAAGAATTTGATCTCCGTCTATGTCTTCATTGCATGTGCGCCTCTCTTGCTCACTTGCCCTCTGCCAACTGTCTCCTCCCTCCCTCCCCCAAATCCATTGCCATTACAGAAGTCTCTTTACCATCAAGATGCCACAGAAACTGAGTACTCTTGAGTTTCTACTGTAAACTGGCCTTTTCACATCCCCATCCACCCAATTCCTTTCCACTCTTCGTTAAACTGACTCATTATTATTATTTGTATTACTGTAGTGCCTAGGAGCCGTTGTCTTGAATTAGGCTCTGATATTCCAGTTTGTCACACACTTGCTGCACTTTTGTCATGCTCCACTGAATTCACTGGGGCTCCCCTCTGTGTGAGTGGAGCACACCATTAGGCGCAACTGTAATACAACTTATTAGTAACAGCAGCAACAATGTTCAACTGTTTGAGCAAGAAGAGACTGAAGCCCCCCCCCCCAAAAAAACCCATTTCCCCATTATAAAGAAAGTGATTAAAAAAACAAAACAAAACAGATTAATGCTGGAATAGCAGGAAGCATAAAGCTGAAATTTGGCATGCAAACAGACTTCTGCCATAATAAGTACCTTTAAATATTTTGGTGAAAATATTTTTGTTTTGACCAAGTTACTGCCCCTTTAAAAAAAAAAAAACACAGACACATACCATATGTACATTTTGCACAGACTTCTCACTACGTTAGGCTACTAAAGAAGTTCTTGCCATGCATACATGTCTAAGTTAGATGTGCTATGAAAAAATGTACAGGAAGTACACAAAAAAAGAGGCAAGGCCTCTGCATCAGGGAAAGTAAAAGCTGAACTACTTCAAAATTAGCAGCACAGAGCCTTTCTCCTGCAGAAATTTCATCAGAACTAAGAGAAAAGAACAGTAAAGCTGCACAGTTAAGCTCTCAAAAGTCAGGAAATGACGAAGTTAAATCTGCACATACAACCTTAACGCTACACCCTACACTGTAATCTAATTATCACATCATTTCACATATTATAGAATTTTTTTTATAATTTTAGATACACACATGTAGCAACTTGTAATTCTTCATTCTTGAATATTTATTCCATTTTTATTAGAATTATGTATAGTCCAGTATATTTTTGTTGATTTAAGCCACTGACTTCAATAGAAGCTGAAAAGTGCTCTGTACCTCTGAAAAAGTCTGGCCACTTGCTTAAACATAGATTTAGGTATTTAACTTTACACATCCAAGTTTGAAGCTCCTGGTCTACATGAATATATGTATTTAGAACAATTCATATTAAAACCACTGTTAAATGAACACTGAACTTACAATTTTGAAAGTCTCATGCCATTTAATAAAGAGTTGCACTTCCTGTACCACAAATTACCGACAAAAGGACAGCTTCCTGTTTTCCTTTTATTTAAGAGCGATTTTTGTTGTAATTAGCTCGTGATTAGCTGATATTTTACATTCCCTCTCTCCCCCTTCATCTAAAACACTGGGGACCAGATTTGTAAAGGTATTTAGGCACCTAAAGATGCAGATAGGCACCTAGTGGGATTTTCAAAATTGCCTGGGAATCAACTTTCAATGGGATCTGGACACCTAGATGCTTTTCAGAGGAACAGCCGTGTTAGTCTGTATTCGCAAAAAGAAAAGGAGTACTTGTGGCACCTTAGAGACTAACCAATTTATTTGAGCATGAGCTTTCGTGAGCTACAGCTCACTTCATCAGATGCATACCGTGGAAACTGCAGCAGATTTTATATACACACAGAGAATATGAAACAATACCTCCTCCCACCCCACTGTCCTGCTGGTAATAGCTTATCTAAAGTGATCAACAGGTGGGCCATTTCCAGCACAAATCCAGGTTTTCTCACCCTCCACCCCCCCACACAAATTCACTCTCCAGGGTGAGAAAACCTGGATTTGTGCTGGAAATGGCCCACCTGTTGATCACTTTAGATAAGCTATTACCAGCAGGACAGTGGGGTGGGAGGAGGTATTGTTTCATATTCTCTGTGTGTATATAAAGTCTGCTGCAGTTTCCACGGTATGCATCTGATGAAGTGAGCTGTAGCTCACGAAAGCTCATGCTCAAATAAATTGGTTAGTCTCTAAGGTGCCACAAGTACTCCTTTTCTTTTTGCGAATACAAACTAACACGGCTGTTCCTCTGAAACCTGTCATTATGCAAGGCACTGCATTTAGCCGTATGGAGTGGAAATCTATCAACTGCATGAAAAAACTTGTACAGATACAGACAGACATCATCTTCCTTTCCAAATGCAAACAGATGGACATCGTACCAAAAGGACTGAAGGTAAAAAATCCATTACAATCTACATACCACACAGACTATGCTGACAGCTTGTGCCTCACGCTCTCCAAGAAACTGCGGAATCACCTGATCAAGATCCTCTACAGCAAACAGGGAAAGATTAAGAATGAGCTCTCAAAAATGGATACTCTCATAAAGAACCAACCTTCCACACAAACTTCCTCGTGGCTGGATTTTACTAAAACTAGACAAGCCATTTACAACGCACACTTTGCTTCTCTACAAAAGAAAAAGGACACTAAACTTTCTAAACTACTACATGCTACAAGGGGCCACAGCAATGGTTCCCTCACCCCACCTAGCAATATTGTTAACCTATCCAACTATACTCTCAGCCCAGCAGAAGCAGCTGTTCTATCTCGGGGCCTCTCCTTCTGCCCCTCCACCCCCACGAACATGATACAGTTCTGTGGTGACCTAGAATCCTATTTTCGACGTCTCCGTCTCAAGGAATATTTCCAAAATACCTCTGAACAACATACTAATCCACAGAGGTCTCCCTGCCAACACTACAGAAAGAGGGATTCTAGATGGACTCCTCCTGAAGGTCGAAACAGCAGACTGGACTTCTACATAGAGTGCTTCCGCCGACGTGCACGGGCTGAAATTGTGGAAAAGCAGCATCACTTGCCCCATAACCTCAGCCATGCGGAACGCAATGCCATCCACAGCCTCAGAAACAACTCTGACATCATAATCAAAAAGGCTGACAAAGGAGGTGCTGTTGTCATCATGAATAGGTCGGAATATGAACAAGAGGCTGCTCGGCAGCTCTCCAACACGAGTTTCTACAAGCCATTACCCTATGATCCCA